GGGTGGGTTTGGGTTCCTGATTTGCTTCCTGCAGAGGGGCTGTAAAGTGCAGGACCCTGCTTCTTGTGTTCATTATGAGCTGAGCACAACATAATGCTGGGTAAGAGCCACCTTCACTTCTGCAGTGCAGCCACGCTGCAGCTCAGGTGGTGACTGTCAGCCCGCTCCCCAGCAACGCCGGTGCCCATGGGGATGGGGCTGAGCTTGGTGCGTGGAAGGGGCTTGGTGAAGAGCCCAGGGCAGGATCAGGGCCGCAGCCTGGCCCCCATCCAGTGGAGCACTTAGCGCACGCTCGGGATTCCCCTGGGACCACAGGGCTTCTGAGTGCTGGGTTCTGTGGTGGGCAGTGCTGGGTTGCACTCGGCAGGTCCCAAGTGCTGATGAGTGTGGAGCAGCCCCAGGCCGGGCAGGGTGCTGGGATGATGCTGGCAGGAGGAGGAGGGCTGTGATCCTCCTCCAGGCTCTGCCTCTCCTATTCCCTTGTGCTGGCCTGAATATCCACTGAAATACTGACAGGGAGGCAGTGCTGCTTCATTCTGCACGCTGTGGTATAATAGATTTATTTTTACACACATGCACATCGAAAGCATTTTTACCACATGCAGCAGAAGGAGGGGATCCTGCCCCTCTGCTGTGCTCTTGGGAGACCCCCCCCCTGCAGCCCTGGTCCAGCTCTGGGACGTGGAGCTGCTGGAGCAAGGCCAGAGGAGGCCACGGAGATGTTGCAAGGGCTGGAGCAGCTCTGCTCTGGAGCCAGGCTGAGAGAGCTGGGCTGCATCCTTGGTAGGTCTTTGCCAGCACGGACCCAAGGTGCAGACCTATGGTGGGACACGTGAGCCGCTGTCACCACGACACTGCTCACCTGGGGAGCGTGATGGTGGAGCAGTGATGGAGCCATGGTCGGACTCTGCAGCTCTCCTTCCACTGCACTTGTGGAGATTCTCTGCTGTGCTCCCAGCTCCCAACTTGTCTGCCTTCTCCTTTGGAATTGCTACCCCCTGCTTAAGAGCGGGTCTGGGTTCCCCCCACACTCCTCCCTGCAGTTTTGCGTAGCTATGGGGCTCTGTAGACACTATGAGCAGTTTTGAGTGTGTGGGATCAGCAGCCCCTAACGTTTGGTCCTGTGGTGGGTACAGGCAAGGGGAGGCTTAAAGACAAAGGTGTCCCAGGTGGGAGGGCAGGAGGCTGCTGGGCACCAGGTTTGCTGTTTGCCATCAGGAGGTGGCTGAGCTTGGTGTGGGGCTCTTACACGCTGCAGTGGAGGTAGTTATGGGTTGGAGTGTGGTTTATTGCCTGGAATAATGCATCTGGCCACAGCGGTGGGAGCATGGGGAGAGCAGCACTGGATTGATGGAGGGGGGTTGGTTTGGGCCCGGGGAGGGCAGGGCGGATGGGCTGTGGGCTCTGCCTCCGTTGCCTGCAGTCTTTGTGCTGGCAGCAATGCTGAGGTTGAGCAGGGCTCAACCCAAGCTGCTGAACCCACTGGAGCAGGTTTTGCCCCACGGCGGCAGCGGGACCTGGCTGGTGCTGTGCAGAGCTGGGGGTCACCCCGGGGCTGACCCCCCATGGCTATGGAAGGCGGCTTCATCGCCCCTTGCCCTGCCCGTGGTGCCTGGCAGACGGGCGCTGGAGGCAGGCTCTGCGTCTCGGCACTCGCTTGGTGCGAGCGGGGGCATTTGTGCTCGCTGCGCTTCCTGCCCAGAGCGAGCTCCTTCCCCGCCACCAGAAGGGGTTTGAGGCCCTTGAGCCGCGGCTCTGGGAGGCTCCTGCGCGGGCACCTCGGGAGGATGAGAGGAGCCGGACCCAGCGGGCGCGTGGGTTCTCGCCCACTGCCTTGGGTCGGTGCCCCTGCCCCTGCCCCTGCCCTTGGTGAGCGCCTCGCTTGCCCCGGGCATCGCCGCCGCCTGGATCTTCGGTGTGCAGCGTTGGCACCTTCCTGCAGCGGCTGCGGCCATGAAGATCCTGAGGCCGGTTCTTCCCCACTGCGTTGGTGGAGCCCTGCATCCTTCAAAGACGGGGTTTGACTTCAGCCCTGCCCTGCCTGCTCTGGATGCTGAGACCTTAGCTGAGATATGAGCTAGCACGCTGTGTCCCTGGGGATGGAGGCGATGGGCAGGTTACAGCAGGGCATGCTAACGTTTGAACTTCCAGCCAGCTCATTCCTGAAGGGTAGGTGAAGCCTTAAGGAGTCACACCCTTGCTTCCTGAAAGCTTGTCTGTCCTCCCTTTGCAGCCCCAAGGAACTGGGTCCTGCTGTGTTCTTGCCCCGGGTTGATGAGCTTTGGAGGGGTGTCATAGAACCATAGAACAGTTTGGGTTAGAAGGGACCTTCAAAGCTCATCCCGTCCAACTCCCTGCAGTCAGCAGGGACATCTTCGACTAGATCGGGTTACTGCAGTGATCAGTCTGGATAAGTTCTGTGCCAGGCTGCCATCATCTCCAGATGCACACCCATGGTGCTGCATGGTGCATCCCATCAGGAGAGGATCCCACATTCCTCGTGTAGGGTCTCCAAGTGTCCCCAGAGTCAGGCCCTGTGTGTGGCTGCTGTGGTGCTTGTCTGGAGCAAGCAGCATCCTGTGCTGCAGCTCAGTGCTGCTGCAGGTGATGAGCAGGTCCTATTTCTGCCTCGTGTTAAACAGCAGCACATTGGAGTGAAAGGCGAGCGCGGTAAGTGGAGTTTAATTGGGATGAATTACACGCCAGGTTTGCAGTAATCTCCCTCCTGCGTTGCTCAGAAGCATCATCTGCTTTGGAAACGTGACTCAGAGATATTGTTATTTGATTCCCCTGAGCGTTTAAGGAACTGTTTTTCCAGGAAGCAAAGATTTGGGGTTTGTTGTTTTTTTTTTCTTGTAGCTGTGGTTGGTTTCTCTTTGTTTGAGGGCAACGAGAGTCCTTTCCCAGAATTTCCTCTGGGGACATTCTCCCTTACCAGTGTCTCTTCTCCTTGCTTGACGTTCAAAGCTCCATCATGCTCACCACTGCCCTTTGCAGAGGAACACAGCTCCAAGGTTGCTGGTTAGAGTTCCCTGCTCCTCCTCTCCATGAGCCCCAGCAGAAGCCATGGTGATGCTGTAGCTGCACCACTGGGCTCAGCACCCACACTTGGAGCCCGGCAGGTCTGCTCCTCACCAACCCCAGCCTGGTTTCCTCCTGCCTGCTCTCACCACCCTGGGCTGTCCCTGATGGTCAAAGTGCTGCCTTATGCTTGGTCACCCTTGGCTAGCCCATTGGGAGCTGCTGCTGGGATGGGACCATAGCCCTAAAGCTGAGGGAATGTCCTCAGAGTGATGCTGTCCCTGTGTCCCACAGCCCGGTGCAGTGGTGCTGCCTGCCCTGCCCTAGCATCATCCCGACCCTGGAATTGTTCACCCCTCGTGTAGAATAGGCCTTCAGAGACATGGGTTAGTGGTGGCCTTGGCAGTGCTGGGGAACGGTTGGACTTGATCATCTATGGTTCTATGATCTGTGGTGCCGATTCTCTGATTCTCCCTGGTGGCACTGTGTGTGTGGGTTTTGTTTGTCCATGGCTTGGTTGCTTGCAGTTCATCTTGCCCTCTTCAGCCATTCCATGGAGGAAGCACGCTGACGCTATGGATGTGCATGAGGATAATGAGCACGGCTCCCTGGAATCACCAGCCACAGCCCTGGCCAGCCAAATGACCCCCTTCATGACCTGATCCTTGCCATCTAGTAAGAGAGGCAACTTTCTGAGCTTTCCTCTGCAGTCCGGGCTTGCCCCCCGACAACAGCCCCTCTGCTGCTGCCACAGCTTCAGAACGAAGCCATTTAAAGACAAAGTCCACGGGATTCGTGTGTGGTACAAAACAGAGGTGGGAGCCCTGAGCGGTTGTCCCACCTCCCTCAGCCCTTGTTCTGACCAGCACCGTGCCCATGCTGAGGCTGTTTGATACCACCCTCCCTGGTGGTGTCTGTAGTTCAGATGAGCTCCAGAGCTGTTTCCATGCTTTTCCGCACGTTTTCTCTCCGGGAGGTGTTTGGCAGTGGGGTGGGCAGCAGGATCCTGCCTGGAAGCGTGGGAGGGGGTGTTGTTGCACTTGAATCTGCTCCAGAGCTGTGGCAGATCCACCACAACCGGATCTCTTGGGCTTGGTTGATCCTTGCACTGAGCATTGTTTGGTGCCTTTGTTATGAACGCCAGCCAGAGGTGATAGGCACAGAGGCAGCTTCACCCTGCTTTGCCTGGGGAGGATGGAGTTTCCTTGGTGAAGGTGGCTTGTGTCTGAAGGCGGGGACTGCCCTGGGTGGTGCTCAGGGGAGATGGAGGAATGCCAGATAACGGAGACATAATTCAGGATAAAAGTGGGGATGGTGGAGGCAGGGACACAATGAGGTTGCTTAAACCAAGAATCAACTCAAGTTTCAGTGTGTAACTTGGATTTGGAAAGGAGTGGATCTTGAATCTCTGGTGTTTGTAAGGCAGTAGCTGCAAAGAGGATCTCATCCAGTGGGGCAGGAGCTGTGCCTCACAGGGTTCATCTTGCTAAAAAAGCTTTCTGTAAGAAGGAAAAAGAAGAGCTGCTGTCTTGAAGGGCAAAAAATGTGCAGTTTGCAGATGTGCATTGGGTGGAGGAAGAGGAAAACGTGAGGTGTGAAGCTAAAGGGCAAAAGCTCACAGTACGGAGTCATGGGATCATAGAAGGTTGGAAAAGACCTTTAAGATCACCAAGTCCAACCGTTCCCCAGCACTGCCTTCATGCGGTGAGTCCCTCTACAAGGCACCAGCCCCAGCACCACTGTCCCCAGCCACCTGGGAGCTCTGCCTGGGCCGGGCAGCTGCCCCATCCCTGCTTCCAGCACAGACAGGAAACGCACCAGGGCCTGGTACCCAGCACCATAGCATCCGCTGTCATGTAAGGGGTGGTCATCCAGCTCCTCAGATGACCAAAGCCACTTTGTCCGTGCTCTTCCTCGTCTGCCCTCACAGGAATTTCAAGCCATTCGCTGAACTCCTTTTTGTTCTCCCTTTCTCTTAGTGGATATTCGTGAAATCAAAGAGATCCGTCCAGGAAGGAACTCGCGTGACTTTGACCGGTACCAGGAGGATCCGTGTGTCCGACCAGACCACTCTCACTGCTTTGTTGTCCTCTATGGCACAGAGTTCCGGCTGAAGACCCTCAGCTTGCAAGGTAAAGCACTTGTGGCCTGGGGCTGTGCAGGGAAGGGGTGGGCAGGCACCTCAGCACTACAGCACCCAGCCTTGGATGCATCCTTCCACGAGTGCAGGAGCGTATCCCTGGGCTGGTGCTGTCTTCACCAGCTGAGGAGGTGTCTTTGGAGGCAGGTGACACCGGCTCTCTGAAGGGTACACCCCTCAGTTTAATCAGTTAATTTGGCAGGTAAACCCAGGAGTCGGGTGAACTGAAGCTCCTCGTTCAAAGGTGTGCTTGAGACGGAGTGTTCTGTCTCAGCTGGGCGTGTTGGTGTCCGTCAGCCCCACGCAGGAAGTGTTAAAATCTCACCTCTGCTTTGAGCAGCCAAACAACGCTGGGGACTCACGAAGCCTCGATACCTGCGAGGTGTTGGTCCCAGCTCTCCTCAGTGCCCCGTCTGTTGACTTAACCTGGACTTGGGGCACCAGCCTTGTGTTTTGCTCCTGAAAGGGGGGAGGTTTGTGCCCTTGAGGCTCCTCCTGTTCAGACAGGACAGGCTGGGGGTGGTTCAGCTGACAGACAACCCCTTTCTCTGCTATGAGCACACAGCCTTGTGAACAGGCAGACCAGCACTGATGGAGGCAGTGATGCCGACTCCTTAACATCCATGGTCCATGGCAAATCTGCCTTGTGGCTGGTGCTGCGGGGCAGGGGGACAGGGGCATCACTTCTGCCCTCAAAGGGAAGGAGCTGCTGACAGGGAGGTTACGGAGGAGCTGGCACATTCCCAAGCTGTAGCTGGCTTGTCACCAGGCCTGGGGACAAAGAAAACCCCCAGCTCGGGGGATCTGCAGGGAAGAGAGAGCCTGATGTGCAGGGGATGGGGTCCAGCAGCCATAGGCATCACAGGGGAGCAGAGCAGGAACTCGGGAGAGGAGTCAGCCAGAGCATCTGTGTGGGAGGGAGCTGTTGTCAGAAGGGGATGAAGGAAGGAATAGGGGACATAAGATGCTGGGGATAGTCCCAAGAGGTTTGGTTGGTGATCGACTTCTATGTCCCTTCTTCCCAATTCTCCTGTGCACTTCCCACAGCCACTTCCGAGGATGAGGTCAATATGTGGATCAAGGGGCTGAACTGGCTGGTGGCTGACACGCTAAGGGCTGCCACCCCTCTGCAGATTGAAAGGTGAGGAACTTGTCCTCATCCTCCACGTTCTCTGGTGGTGAGGAGGGCTCTGGGAGTGGGTTGAGTGGCATTGAAAGCTTCCAGAGACAGCAGTGAAGCAGAGGAGGCGGAGGAGCCGGGGCTCAGTGTGTGTGTCTGTGCCTTTCCCTTCAGGTGGCTCCGGAAGCAGTTCTACTCGCTGGATCGCAACCGAGAGGACAGGTAAGAGGAGAGAGAACACCCTCTGCAGAGGGTTTGAGCTGGAAGGGTTCCTCTTTGCCATGAGACCCCAGCCTTTGCTTTGGAACACTGTGAAACACCTCACCCCCAGCTGGCATCACCCAAGGGGGCAGACACTGAGGAGCCAACCGGCAGCTCTGGCCACCCTGTCAGGGCTCAGCTGGGTTCTGTTTGTTACTCTCCACCCCATTTGTTTTGTTCTTCTTCTCTGAGGTCCATGAGACCATGGGTCCATCCCCCTGCTTGGCTTCTAGGCTGATGGGCTGCAGCAGGGCCGCTACTTGTGGGGTTTTCTTAGTGATGCCCTAAGTGTAAAATGTCATGCTTGAACCATCACGGAAGTAAGGGAAGGGATTTGGGTCAAGATCCATCATGAGGAGTTAAGAGAAGGGACAAGGTGTCCTTGCTCATTGTAGAGGGTTGGACTAGATGAGCTTTGAAAGGTCCCTTTCAACCCAAGCTGTTCTATTATTGTGTTTTCCCTGTCAAGGAGTTAAGTTCCACCACGCTGTTCGCTGCTGCTGCATTGGCTGCTTTTCCCAGCTGCATTCCCCCTCCATCCTCCTCATCCTGAGGTGCTGTTATTTGCCTCCATCCATCCCTGGGACATGCTTTTCCCCTGCAATGTTAAGTGAGCCCCTTGACCTCTCAGATTGATTTCCATGTTAATGCGATCTCCTGGGGCAAGGGGATTCCTCCAGTCCTGCTCCGAGGGGTGGTGCTGGACACATGGCTCACACATCACTGGGCAGCCTGTGCTGGTGTTTTACCACCTTCATTATAAAGATTTCCTTCCTCACATCAGCCTGAATCTCCCTCTTTTAGTTTAAACCCATCACCCCCCATCCTATGGCAACAGGCCCTGCGGAAAAGTCTCTCCCCATCTCTCTTGCAGGCCCCTTTTAAGTAGTGAAAGGCCACATAAGTCTCCCCTTAAGGAGCCTTCTCTTCTCCAGGCTGAACAACCCCAGCTCTCTCAGCCTTTCCTCATAGGAGAGCTGCTCCATCCCTCTGATCATCGAGGCTGGTTCAGCAGAGCTGAAAGCCAGCCTGCTGCATCTCTCTTGTTTTAATTACTAGCATCTCTTTGCATCCAGAATTAAGGCAACAAAACACAATACACTGCTACCTGTCCACCAAGGGGAGGAGCTTCAATGCAAACCGTTTCATTAGAAGAGCTGCTGCTCCAGCCCAGGCAGCAAAGGGAGCAGGACAGAGGGGGAATGCAGGTCAAGGCGGCGGCTGCCCGTTTTACAGCCATCCCTGTGCTGTCTGCAGAGCATGGCAGCAGTTAGGGGTATGTACATCTCCTGGGTGGAATCTCTGCAGCATTAACTTTGGTGTCACTGGGCTCTGCTGCTGCCTCTCAGCCTGGAAATGGGGTTGAAAAGAGACGAGTGAGTCGTGGTTCTTTTAGGACACTGCTTCTTTCCCAAACCGCCCGTGGTCCTTCCCAGGACGGGCAGGATTTGGGAGCTGCAGGGATCATTCCTGGTGCTGGAGCCCTTTCCTCCCGGCTGGGTGCCTCCCGCACGCCAGCAGATGTAGGCTGTTTTCACTGGCTGCTGGGCCTTTGGGTGTTTGTTTTTCCAAGGGACGTGAGGTGGAAAGAGCAGGATAACAGGATGCTGGGGTTTTCCTCACTGGTGCGGAGGAGCCTGTTCACCTCTGGCTAGGAGAGCTGCCCGTGCTGGGAGCAGCGTTACGGCACCGCAGGCTGTTTCCATCCCTATGTGAGGGCTGGGTCAGTCCTTTGGCCTGTTTGTCATGAAACCCTCAAAAACTTCCGTAGGAAAAACGAGCTTATTCATTTGTTTTTCACTTTTTAGTCTCAAAATACCACCAAGCTGTTTATCCAAGGTCTGCAGCGCTTGCACGTCATTAATATCACCCCATCAATAAAATCCTTCCATCCGCCATCCTCCTGTGGGGGCAGAGAGGGAAATGCTGGTCACAGCTTGTACAGGGTTTGCTCTCACCCCTCCTGGTGCCACCACACCGTGATGAGCAGTGCCTCAGTCCACCCCCTTCCTGGGTCCAGCCCAGCATCCCCTGAGCTGGGCACTGTCTTCGGTGCATCTGGAGCTCCTTTTCCAGGAGCTTTATTGCAGTGTCAGCCTCTCACCAAGGGGACATTGCTGTGGGTGGCCCTGGGGACAGTGGGTCCCATCAGGGGTCCCACCCGAGCTGTCACTCCTTGACACCCATCAGTGGTGGCATCTCTCACTGCGCTCCTGGTTCACTCCCCCCAGCACCGCCCCACTGTCCTCTCCTGTCACCCAGGACCCCATAGGTGGGACACTCATCCTGGGTTGCTCATGGCTGTGGGTACCGGGTGTGCTGTGGAAGGGAAGGGGCAGGACCCTCACCCAGGACACTGCCTGCACGGTGCTGGCCGTGGCACAGCACGGGAGCAGGGCCAGGTCCGGCTCTGGCCGTGCTGCGTCCCGGGGCCCCGCGCTCAGAGCCCACAAACAAGGGCTCTCTGTGTGCTGCCGGCTGCGGGGCCCTGGTCGCTGCAGCGCCTGACACCAGCCTGCTCCTTGGGGGTCCCTCCTCCTTTGTGTCCTTTGAGATCATCCTCTTGCCAGGGAAGAGTGGAAGAGATGCGGTTCATGCTGCGCCTCCGCATCGCTGCCGATGACTGCGTGTGCCTGGGCTAAACCCCTACCCAGCACATCCTCCCCTTCCCGGCCATATTTGTGTTTGGGTTTCCAGGGTTAGACTTGCCCAGTGCTTGGGATGAGGGAGCATCCTGCACGTTTCTGAGCCCCCACATGCTCCGTGGGAGCAAAGGCAGCATCTGTGTTTGCTGGGGCAGGCTCCAAGGACTTGCTTTTAGGGCAGGAGCTGACGGAAGATGGTGGCACACAGACCTCTCGCTTCTTGGGTCCTGCAGATGGGAGACATTCCTGTTTTCCTTCGCTGCAGGGCCGTTGCCCAGAGGGGAACAAGGAACAGGGCTCCTTGCTGCCCATCTCTGCCTGCTGGAGCTCAGGATCCTGCTTGGGGTTGGTCAGGGGGCCCTTCCTGGTCTGGGAACTGGCACGTTTGGTGTGAAGGGCCCTGGGGAAGACATTGGTGTGTGAGACAGTCACTGGGGGAGCACGGCTGGGGCACGATGGGGCATCGCTGTGGCTGTGAGTAGACTCTCTTGCTGATAGAATTAGCTGGGTCCAAACCACCTCAAAGCCTGCTCTATGTCCGCCTCCTCCTGCAGGCCAGGGAGTGGGGTTGGAACAGGTTTGGTGACCCAGCATCCACGCTGGGGCACAGCCAGTTTAAGAATGCCCCTCCCCGGCCGTTTCTGTAAAGCAGGGGGCACTGTGTGCCCGTGGTGGCATCAGCTTGAGTGGGCTGAGGGTGCTGGGACTTGCCCTGTAGGAGCTTGCAGGAGCTGTGTTTGCAGTTCCCTTGGCATGCAAGCACCTCTCTGCTCCCCACATGCAGCATGGATGTTCATTGGGGTGGAAAATGTTCTCCTGCTCTGCCTTCGGTCCCAGCCCCGGCATCCTTCTGGATCATGCATCCGTCCTTGTGTGTCACAGCTGATGTCCCTTTGGGTGTCCCAGTCCCAGGGTGAGATGCCTCTGTCCCAGCCCTCCTGAATGTGTTTTGCCTCTTTCCCCTGCAGGATCTCCGCCAAGGACCTGAAGAACATGCTGTCTCAGGTCAACTACCGGGTGCCCAACATGAGGTTCCTGCGGGAGAGACTCATGGTAAGTGTGTGACATCTCTGCTCTCCTTGCTGGCATGGAGGACCATGTTCCCTGTTCGCTGCAGCCCGTGTCCTGCCTTTGAGCAGAGCCCGGTGGTGGTTGGGTCCCACGGAGTGTTTGAACATCAGGGGCTCTTCCTGGGAGGGGTCTGAAGAGGTGCCAGGTCCTGCTGCGTGCTGCACCCCGGTCCCATGGTGGCCAGCACCTTCCCTTCACCCCATCCCGCACGCTCCCGGCCCCAGCCAAGGGCTTTGTGCTGGTGGGGTCAAGTGTAGGAGGATGGGCAGCGGGGCTGGTGGCTGCCTCCTGCATCCTGGGTCCTGCAGCTCCACTGCATCACCGCAGAGCCAAGAGTGAAGGCTCAGCTCCTGGTGACCGTGTCCACCAGCACTGAACTCGAGGCCAAAGGAGAGCACACGCTTCAGGTCCTGTGGTTTCCAGGTGCTCTCTGCAAGCATGAGTTTAAATGATCCTTTAGTAGCTGTTCAAGTAAGCAGCAACGCTTCTGTCAGCACTGATACCTTCATGTGGGCTGGGGAGCAGGGGGAATCGTGTGACTCCATTTAGGATGTGCCTGTGTCCTGGGCACTGTGGGTCCCACCGAGATGTGCAGAGGTAGGAGGCAAAGTCTGGCCAGGTTTTGGCCTTTTCCTCCTCCTTCTTCCCCCAGGGATCCTGGTGGGAGGAGACACTCCTGAGGCCACACAGAGCTGCCCGTGGCCCTGTCAAACCTCTGGTTTCCTGCTGCAGGACGTGGAGCAGAGGAGCGGGGATATCACGTACGGGCAGTTCGCGCAGCTCTACCGCAGCCTCATGTTCAGCGCCCAGAAAATGGTAAGAGCTGGATTCTGCAGGGCTGGGAAGGGGAGGGACAGACCATGGCTGTCACTGCCCTGGGCCAGGGAGGGCAGGGAGTAAAGAAGTCCTTGCTCTAGGCTGTTAGCAGGGGGATGAGCAGCAGCTGTAAGGAAAGGTTAGATGCTGCTCTGCTGTCCCCATTGCCTTCCACATCAGTTTGTGCTTTCAATACATTGGATTGAGGGCAAACCTAATGCTTCTGCTTCTTCTTCTGCAGATGGATGTCCCGTTCCTGGACAGGTGGGTGAATCTCTGTGTTTGCTGGGGAAGGGGCTGTTTTCTGCTCCATGACATGCTCCGGTGCCTGCAGCAGCATGCTGGGGATGAGGCATGCTGTGTCCCTCTTCCTATCGCTCTGTTTGTGACTTTGCACCCTGAAGAAGCATCTCTGCTGCAGGCGCTCCAGCTCGGGGCAGGGGGGGCTCTCCTCCTCCAGACTGGGACCCAGCCCAGCTCAGCCTCCTCCAAACCAGTCCCTTGCTTTATGTGGAGCACCCAGACCTTGAGCCACCTCCCAGAGGCTGCCGATGACAGCAGGGGCTGCGCAGGCTGCAGCGGTGCTCCCCTCCAGGCAGCGTCTGTGGTGCCTGCTCTGCCCTTCCCTGTGCGCACCTTGGCTGGTGTCCGGATTAAAGGGCTTGAATCTGGACACGGGAGCTGAAGGGGGAGACCTGTGACCTTGTCCACAGATTTCCCCATGCTTTTTCCCCTATAGCCATAGGAAAGAGCTGGCAGGAACCTCAGCAGACCAGCACTGACAGTTCATTTCTGATTTCTTTGGTGTCAGTCCCCAGCATTGCCCTTGGCTGTCCATTGCGGCTTGGTATGTTCATGGACAAGTCCTTTGAGATCATCAGCTATAATCAGTTCCCACCTTAGTTCCTTGCCTTGCCTCCTTGAGTCCATGTCCTCTGGATCCCTGTAGGTCTGTCCTGTCACAATCACCTCTTCACTGCCCTGCACCCATTTAGTTATTGTCACCCTTGTACAAGTCGGTTCCTCTGATGATTTTTGCTGCCTGTCACTAGAGCTCCACGTTGCCATCCCCTTGGCACTGTGAATCCTGGGCTGCTCCTGGCGCAGTCCCTGGCACTGGGATGTGGATGTATGCTCTCACCTGCTGTGTGTTTGCTGCCGTGCCCTCCCTGTCGCTCTCTGCTCGTCCCCTCTGCCCCTGCAGCACGGCTTGCTCGGAGCACATCTCGTTCGCACGCACCATGGTGGTCGCTTGCACTCTCACAGGGCGCTGGGAGCAGTCGGTTGTGATGTGCTGCCTGAGTGACCAAAGCTTCTCCTTCTCTTTCTGCTTGCCAGGGCTGGAGAAAGGTCTGAGCACTTCAGGGTGTCACTGCTGGAGCTGCAGAAGTTCCTGCTGGAGTACCAGAGGGTGAGCGCAGCACTGGCCCAGGGGAGGGATGATGGGATGGGCAGTGGCAGGGACCTGAGGGCAGCCCTGCAGTGGGGCTGAGGTGATGGTTGTGGGTGCTCTGCCTGGCACAGCCACGGCCTGAGCACATCCTCCCTTAAGTACACTTTAGGCAGAAGCTCTTCCCTGTGAGGGTGCTGAGGCGCTGGCACAGGGTGCCCAGAGAAGCTGTGGCTGCCCCATCCCTGGCAGTGTTCAAGGCCAGGTTGGACACAGGGGCTTGGAGCAAGCTGCTCTAGTGGAAGGGGTCCCTGCCTGTGGCAGCGGTTGGAACTGGATGAGCTTTAAGGTCCCTTCAGCCCAAACCAGGCTGGGATTCTGTGATTCCTAGAGCAGGAGGTGGTGCAGGGAGGGCACTCTTGAGGGTAAACCTCAGCCAGGAACCCTGGTCAGCGAAGGGACGAAGAGCAGAAGGTCTGAGAGGAGTGGAGGGAGGAACTGGTCAAGGCAGTGTACCCAGTCCCAATGGCCTCAGCTGGTTACTGAAGGTGTGGAGCAGTCAAAGCATCATGGTCCATCCTCTCTGCTCCGGAGGTCTCAGCAGCTCCTGAGGAGCAGCCCATGGATCTGCCCCTTCCATTTAGAAGCGATCTGAGGTCTTTCAGCGCAGCAAGAACCAGCAAAGAGACACAGCATGGTGATGGCCTAATGAAAGACACTGGAGGGGAGAAGCCAAAGGAAGCTGGGTTGGCTTTTGCTGCTGAGCGAGGAGGGGTGGCAGATGTATGTGGAGGAGCTGTTGGAGAGGAAAATGCATGTACTGAGAAAGTGAAGAGCACTTGGGAACAGGGCAGATCCTGCAGTTGTGTGCGAGCCGCTGTTTGTGCTGACAGTGCAGTTCATGGCAGAGCTGGTCTTGCATTAAAAGCTGCCTCCTTCGTGGTTAAAGATGCGGGTTGGATGAGCCACACATGGGTTTGAGCAATGCTTTCTTTCTCTTGGGGTTTTGCAGGAGCTCTGGGCTGCAGACACCCTTCAGGTACAGGAATTCATGTTCAACTTTCTGAGAGACCCTCTGAGGGAGATTGATGAGCCTTATTTCTCCCTGGATGAAGTAAGACATCTTGAACACTGGCATGTATGGAGCGGGGTGGAGTATGTGTGACATCCCCAGTGTGCTGGGTGACAGCTCTGCTGTCTGTCTCTTCACATGTCAGGGTGATGCTTGAAGGATCACAGCTCCTGTAAGCTGTGTTGCTGTGAGGTGAACGTGGTGGGTCACCCTGTTGCGCAAGAGCTGGTTGGCCAAGCAATGGCTTGTGGGCTCTTTTCATGTGCTGGGGGTGTGCAGCTGGGAGTGCTCACCAGGCATTCATTTGCAGGAGGAAAGGGGCTGCACTTGGTTTGATGCCCCTTAGGGTACTTGGGTAGCTGCTGGGTAGCTGCTGGCAGGGAGGGTTGGATGTGTGTGCAGGTAAACGGCTCCTCCACATCATTAACATGCTTCTGTTTCTTCCTGAGCAGTTTCTCACCTTCCTGTTTTCCAAAGAGAACAGCATCTGGAACTCGCAGCTGGACATGGTGTGTCTGGAGAACATGAACAACCCCCTCTCCCATTACTGGATCTCCTCCTCACACAACACGTAAGGACCAGGGGATGCTCCCTCCACGTGTCTGCTCCCAGCCTCCCCTTCCCCAGGGTGGGATTCCCCTCGTCTTGCCCAATCCCAGTGGTGGGTCCAAACCAGGGTCAGTACAGCAGAGACCTTCCTCTTGGTGCCCCGGTCCTCCCTTTATCATTTAACCGTCTGTGTTTTGCGCATTGTCCGCACCTCATGTCTTCACAGACTGTGCATTCAGGTCAGTGAATGGCTGTCACTCTGGCCATTCCTTACCATTAACAACGTCATCACCTTCCAGAGGCTCTTAGGACAGATGTGACAAAATCCTGGCAGGCTGAAACTGGCCTTTTTCCTTCCCTGCTGCTAGAAGCACCTTGCAGGAACTGCTTTACTGCAGATGAGCTCTGGCTCTACTCCCCATTCATGGAATGCGGTGACAACACCGCAGCCCGAATTTAAAGGCGCAGAGGGCAGGCAGAGAGCTGCTGTGTGCCTGCAGGAGCTGGCCTGACCCTGCTCTCTGGCTGCTGCAGGGGCATTTTTTGTGTCACTGATGCTGATACCGCTCTTTGAGTCTCATCTCCAGAGCTGGCACCCGGGACCTCAGCACGGTGCTTGCAGCCCTCTGCAGCCGGGGCAGAACCGAACCTCCCCTGGGGTGGCTCTGCCCAGCAGGCACCCCTGCCCCTGTGAGTGCGTGGCTCTGCTCACGTGTTCTCTCCCGTGGAAGGTACCTGACCGGGGACCAGTTCTCGAGCGAGTCCTCGCTGGAGGCGTACGCGCGCTGCCTGCGCATGGGCTGCCGCTGCATTGAACGTGAGTGCTGGAGCTGTGCTTTGTGCCCAGCGGTGGCCGGTGGGGGTCAGGGGAGGCTCGGGTTGCTGGTCCATATGCTGCTGCCACCCTGATGTGCTGGAGGGGCTGAGGGTGTTGGCTTGGTGGGACTGGTGGTAGGTGCCTGAGCTTTTGGTTCCCCAGGAAGATCTGGACGTTCGCCTCACTGCTTTGTTACCTTCCAATGCGGATCCCAGCAGTGCTTGTTTCAGTCCATCTCATCCTGCCTGTATTCCAACCAAGATGCTTCCATGGGTCTCTTGCAGTGGATTGCTGGGACGGTCCCGATGGCATGCCAGTCATTTACCATGGGCACACCTTAACCACCAAGATCAAGTTCTCTGATGTCCTGGTCACCATCAAGGAGCATGCCTTTGTCACCTCCGAGTGAGTACAGCAGGACCTGGCCTGCAGCTAGCAGAGCTGCCAAGAAGGCAAGGAGTGGGTAGAGCCAAGGCTGGAGCAAAGCAGCTTTGGGTAAACCCCAGTAGTGTCAGTCCTTCTCCACCATGTGCATCGCCGGCAGTGGGGGGGACACTGTGCTGTAGGGTGGTTACACTGAGTGTTCAAGGCAGCACAGATCACTGCGGATGCAAAGTGCTCCTTGAGGGCACAGAGGCTGTGACCTGTGACCATCAGGTGATGGTTCCACCTGGACACCGTGCTGGTCCTGACAGCTCTTTTCCTTCTCCCAGTTTCCCAGTCATTCTGTCCATTGAGGACCACTGCAGCATTGCTCAGCAGCGGAACATGGCTCAGAATTTCAAGAAGGTCTTTGGGGACATGCTCTTGACCAAACCTGTGGATATCTCTGCTGATGGCCTTCCCTCTCCAAACCAGCTCAGGAGGAAGATCCTCATCAAGGTGAACTCCATCCCCAGCTAGTGGAGACAATGGGGGCAAAATGGTGCCGGTGTGGAAAAAAAGGCAGCTCCTAACCTCTGGAAGGGGTTTGCTGAAAGGGGAGACGTGATGCTCAACCCAATGGGAGACAAAAAGCTCTCATGCTTCAGAGGAGCTGCTATGGAATAAGCTCAGCAGCTGGGTGCTGCCCTTCTGGAGAGCTTGGGGGATGCTGGTATTCCTGCTGCAGGAATCACCTCTGGGGAGAAGGGTGGGACTTCAGTGCCCTTTGATGATCTCTGTGGCATGGGTGCCACCCTGGTCCTTTCAGTCTAGGGGAACCCACTGCAGCAGACCTGGCTGTTCACTAGGCAGCCCATGCTGCTTTCTGGGTGCCTGCTTCCCTCAAGGTACCTGACCCACCTCTTGTCTCACAGCACAAGAAGCTGGCAGAGGGCAGCGCTTACGAGGAGCTACCCACGTCCGTGATGTACTCCGAGAACGACATCAGCAACTCCATCAAGAACGGGATCCTCTACCTGGAGGACCCCATCAACCACGTACGTGTCTCCGTGCCCTGAACCCCGCGCTGTGGGCCCCATAGGTGCCATGGTAGCTCCGCAGGGCGCTGCGTGGTGCTGATAGGAAAGATTGTGGTGCACAGGAGCTAAGAGGCGCTGCTCTGTCCTGTTCCTCAGGGTCCCTGAGGGCTGGGGGTTTCTGTGCTGGCTCTCTCCTGTGCTCTCCCCTAGGCACCTCTTGGCCCTTGTTAGAGGCAGAAGCTGAGCTAGAGGGAGCTCTGGGCTGAGGCACTGCAGCTGCGCTGTGTAAAGCCTCTTTATCTGTTGCTGCAGTCAGCTCTAGCCGTGGCATTTCCTGCCTCCTACCGAGTGCCCGCGGAGCTCCCACACCTCGGCAAGCATTCTGCTCTGTAAAGCACCAACCCTCCCCTCTGCTGTGCGCATCTGCTTCCACACAGCCCGCTCCCTCAGCGGCTTTGCTTCGCTGGGGATCGGTCAGGCAAAGTCACGTGTGAATGAAGCACAGCTTTGGAGAACAGGGAAGTGAAGCACATAGCCATCTCCTGTAGCCTCACTGGGGATAGCCCCGTGCTGACCCTGGCAGAGTGCTTTCTTTTTGCATTGATTTGCTTTCCATTTGGTCATCCCCTTTTGCTACATGCCGGGGTGTTGGCAGTGTGAGCTGCAGTCACTTTAGATGTAAGAGCTACCACATCCTTTGGATTTGGGCAATGTCTTAGGAGCTCCTGTGACTCCACTGAAATCAGTGTTGCTGATTCACTGCCGTCGGTGACTCCTCTGCAAACCCCATCACCCGTCACTGGTCGTGCTGACCTGGAAGAGCTGGTCCCATGGATGGGTGGTGGGGGCCAGCTTGCTGCTGCCTCGGGGGTCTCTTTGCCCAGAGTTTGTTTCCTTGCAGGAGTGGAACCCGCATTACTTTGTCCTGACCAGCAGCAAGATCTATTACTCTGGGGAGACAACCAGTGACCAAGGAAATGAGGATGAAGAAGAGCAAAAGGAGGTGAGGGATGCCTTGTGTGACAGTCAGTCATTCACATAGAGAAGGGACCCCACTTGCAGCACTGTGTGCAGTTCTGGTGTCCTCAAGATAAGGACATGGAGCTGTTGGAGCAGGTCCAGAGGAGACTACAGGAATGAGAAAGCTGGCACTGTTCAGCCTGGAGAAGAGAAGCTGTGTGGAGACCTCAGAGCAGCTTCCACTGTCTGAAGCGGGGCTATAGGGATGCTGGGGATGGACTCTTCATCAGGGACTGTGGTGATAGGACAAGGGGTGATGGGTTCAAACTGAAACGGGAAGTTTAGGTTAGATCTAGGGCAGAAGCTTTTCCCTGTGAGGGTGCTGAGGCGCTGGCACAGGGTGTCCAGAGAAGCTGTGGCTGCCCCATCCCTGGCAGTGCTCAAGGCCAGGTTGGACACAGGGGCTTGGAGCAAGCTGCTCTAGTGGAAGGGGTCCCTGCCCGTGGCAGGGGTTGGAGCTGGATGAGCTTTGAGGTCCCTTCAGCCCAAACCAGTCTGAGTCTGTGATTCCATGACTTGCGTGTCCAAGGGGCTGAGCACTGCCAGCTGCCTGCAGGGGGAGATAGATCCTGGGGTGGGAAGGGTGGGAGCTGCTGCAGGGAAGCTCCCTGCTCCTGGTGGGAAGACCCCTGCGCGCTGTGGCACCGGAGCCTGCCCTCAGGGCGCTGGGTTCCCTGCAGGTGAGCAACAGCACGGAGCTTCACTCCACCGAGAAGTGGTTCCACGGGAAGCTGGGAGCGGGCCGGGACGGGCGGCACATCGCGGAGCGGCTTCTGACCGAGTACTGCATCGAGACTGGCGCCCCCGACGGCTCCTTCCTCGTCAGGGAGAGCGAGACCTTCGTTGGAGACTACACCCTGTCCTTCTGGTGAGGCTGCAGCGCTGCTCCCTGCGCTGCGGGCCTGGGTTCATCCCGTCCCTGTGCAGCGGTGTGCTCCCAGTGCTCCAGTGCACATCCCTCCCCTTTTTCTGTGCCCCAGCATCCCGCCAGCTCATCGTCCATGCAGAAGGGCCAAGTCCTTTGGGACCCTTCCATGTCAGCTCTCTGGTGGGGCAGGAATGCTGTGTCCGGGCTGGGGCTGTGCCTGAGGCTGGTGCAGGATCCCCACAGAGGACCCCGGTTCTCCCTCTCGCGCAGGCGCAACGGGAAGGTGCAGCACTGCCGCATCCACTCGCGGCAGGATGCCGGCAGCCCCAAGTTCTTCCTGACGGACAACCTAGTGTTCGACAGCCTCTACGACCTCATCACCCACTACCAGGAGGTGCCTCTGAGGTGCAACGAGTTTGAGATGAGGCTGACGGAGCCGGTGCCACAGACCAATGCCCATGAGAGCAAAGAGTGAGTGTGGGTCTGGGGTGGGTCGTGTCCACTGAGCAGCCAGGACCTTTTGGGACACCCTCCCACATCAGCCATTCCTTCCTTGCTGGGGCTCTATGGTCCCCACTTGCTCCCTGTGGAGCTCTCTATGTCACAGCAGCCATGCTGGCCAGCTCTGCTGTTCGTGTTGCTGATTGATTGTGGTGGAAGCTCAGTGCAAAGCAAGGGGTACTGGGCTTGGCTGGGATGCCCTCACCCATGCATCACCAAAGGTCTCTGAAAGAAGAGGGCCCTGTCCAGTGTCATGTACATGATGATCTCCCTGTCCTCCTTTTGAGGATTCAAGCAGATTTCTAGGGGCTGGAGGGGAAGCCCTGTGGCACGCAGAGGTGTGGGGTGAGCTGGAGGTGTGGGGACCCGTGCACAGTGACGTGTCTCTCCTGAAAGGTGGTACCACGCCAACCTCACGCGGGCCCAAGCTGAGCACATGCTGATGCGGGTGCCGCGGGATGGAGCCTTCCTGGTGCGCAAGAGGAGCGAGCCCAGCTCCTACGCCATCTCCTTCAGGTGTGTCCGTGGTGGTGGGTGCAGATCCTGGGTTCCTGGTGTGGCTGTGGGAGCTGGAGCTGGGATGCTGCAGTGTGTGAGACAGCAGGAGAGTGGCTGTGATCCTGGCATGAACCTTCCCAGAGCTCTTCTCACTCCTGTTGGCCCTGGATAAGACCCACAGCCCCTTGAGAGCCTTCAGGACCTTGCTGAGGGATGGCTGTGCTCCTTTTGCTCGCGTGGCTTTACCTTGGCAGAGACCTTCTCCTGCCAGGTGCCAAGTTCCTCCTCTCTGCCTTTGCTCCTGCCAGGGCGGAGGGGAAGATCAAGCACTGCCGGGTGCAGCAGGAGGGCCAGACCGTGCTGCTCGGCAACTCCGAGTTTGAGAGCCTGGTGGACTTGATCAGCTACTACGAGAAGCACCCGCTGTACCGCAAGATGAAGCTGAGGTACCCCATCAACGAGGAGACACTGGAGAAGATTGGGACAGCGGTGAGTGTGGGCGGCTGTTGGAAGGATGCTGGACAGGTCTGTTCCGAGCTGGTGCCCTGAAGCAGTGCTGTATGAGCCATCTCTGTGCTTCACAGTCTGCACCTCTCGGGCTGGAAGCACTTTTGGGCTTCAGTGAGGTTTATTGCTGTTCCTTTGACCCGGTACCCAAGTGTGGGCTTCTGCTTGCTGTGTGCAGCATCACCTTTGGTCTGTGCCCTCCCTGGGGTGTTCTCCCTGCCTGCCCCGAGGTGGGGACCTGTTCTCCTGCTGTAACTGCTGCCCTTTGCTCCCGCAGGAGCCGGATTATGGAGCCCTTTACGAGGGACGCCACCCCGGGTTCTACGTGGAAGCCAACCCCATGCCCACCTTCAAGGTATGTTCTCAACTGCCTGCCATGGCACAGCCTGCAGGGCCGCAGGGTTTAGCTCTGTTGCCCAAGAGCTGTATTTTTTGCACACTCATTTCTATACCACGAAGGAGAGACATGTTCTAGATTGAGGCTGCAGGTTCCCGGGCTGGGCTGCTTCTTGTCCTGAGCCCTCCAAACTAAACCCATCAGTGGCTCCAGCTCAAAGGAAAGTGCCAATGTGGAGCCATGCCAGACCTGTGACCTCTGGTTTGGCATAAATGGGGGCCTTGATTTATTCTGCAAGGTCATTAGGGCCTGGCAGCAGGGCTGGGCACTGCCTGCACACAGCGTGCCTCATGGTCCCCCCAGCAAGCACATCCTTGTCCATGTATCCACCCGCTGCCCGGCCTCATGGGAACCCTCCTCATTGCAGTGTGCAGTCAAAGCCCTGTTCGACTACAAGGCGCAGCGGGAGGATGAACTCACCTTCACCAAAAATGCCATCATCCAGAATGTGGAGAAGCAGGAAGGAGGCTGGTGAGTGTGTCCTGAGCCTCCCTTGTCCCTCGGGACACGTGCAAACCTTGGTGCCATGCAGAGGTGTGTCCCCTCCAGGGGTGGCTCCATCTGGGGGTTGCTGACAAGCTGCACAGCCCCAGAGCCTCACGAACCCTAAAAGCAGATGATGGAGGAGCTGCCTGTCCCCTGTCACCCCAGTCAGGATGCTCTGGGACCCCATGCGGGTGCTGAGGCTGCCCCATCCCTCTCTTCCAGGTGGAGAGGAGATTATGGTGGCAAGAAGCAGCTGTGGTTCCCCTCCAACTACGTGGAGGAAATCACTGGTCCCAGCAGCCTGGAGCCAGAGCGGGAGGTGAGCTCGTGCGGAGCGGAGCAGGGAGGGATGGCGGGAGGAGCAGTGTGCGCACATCCCAGCACCTTGCCCAGCACCATCCTGCCTCTGCTTCCTTCCCAGCAGCAGCTGGATGAGAACAGCCCCCTGGGAGACCTGCTGGGGGGTGTCCTGGATGTGCCCTCCTGCCAGATCGGTGAGTGCCAGCAAGGGTCATGGTCCTGTCCTGTGATGGATGCAGGGCTTCAGTCTCCAACTGCCTCCGGGCACCCCTGTGCCTGCTGGAAGTGCACAGTCTATGGTGTATGCTGGTCAGGCAGAGACTCCTCCACTGCTGTTCCTGGCACAGGAGCTGCTTTGGGCTTTGGGGCTCAGGCACTTCCTTGCAGCCCCAGTACAGCTGAGGAGCATCTGGGTCCTGCCAAGGAGCCTTGAAAACCTGTGGGGCAGCTGCCCCACAGCAAGGGAGCTCAGACCAATGTTGTGGGCTCCTCCTTTCCCATAAGGGTTGGTCCTCCCTCACATACGTGTGGTCCATCTCCCTGCCAGGGGCTCGGGATGCTGGGTCTGGTCTGCAGCTCTTGCCTGCCCCTTGCCTCCCCTGAGCCCTTTTGGTCTGGGTGGCTGTTCTCACCGGAGCACTTCAGGGCACAGAGTGAAGCTGATGTAGGTATGGGAGAAAGAGGGCATTACAAAGGCTTCTCAGCCCCCTCAGGGAACACTGCATCCTCACCTATCCTGGGCTTCATCTGCTGCCTCCAACAACCAGAAATGGAAGCTTCTCTTAGCTGAGAAGTCCTGGGGCAGCCACGAGAGCCCCTCGTGCTCTCCCTTCCTCCCTCTGTGCTGTGAAGGACATGGCTCAGCATCTGCGGTGACGTTGCCCTCTGCTCCCTGCCCACAGCCATCCGCCCCGAGGGGAAGAACAGCCGCCTCTTCGTCTTCTCCATCAGCATGGCCTCGGTGTCGCGCGTGTCCCTGGACGTGGCGGCTGATACGCACGAGGACCTGCTGGACTGGGTGAAGAAGATCCGGGAGGCAGCGCAGACAGCTGATGCACGGGTGAGCGAGAGCCCTGCCCAGGGGACATCTCCTTCCCAACCCTGGGCTTCCCACGAGGAGCAGGGGAGGGTTGGTGCGATGGCAGCACGTGATGATGGACAGAGCAGTTACAAAGGCGATAAAGCCAGAACAACCTTAGACGATGGAGCAAGGGGTGGAGGCCACACGTGGTGGGTTGAGAGGTTCAGGCTGGACATCTCTGGAAGATCGGTCCATTGGGAGGGTGTTGGAGCCTTGGGAGGTTGGGATCTCCATCCATGGAGGGTGGCAAGGCTCTGCTGCCCTGCATTGGTACCGCTGCCAGTCCTGCTTCAGGGGGAAGGTGGGACCCATCAGGGTGCTTTTGTGGTGTACCCCCAGCAGACCCACTCATGGTTCCCAGAGCATGGGCAGGAGCAGCCAGTGCTGCCATTGACTGAATTGGTGAGCTGAGTTACCCAATGCCACTGCTCCCCCTGGCCCTGACACCTCCCTCTCCCTCTCTTGGCAGCTCTCCGAAGGGAAGATGATGGAGAGGAGGAAGAAGATTGCCCTGGAGCTTTCAGAGCTGGTGGTCTATTGCCGGCCTGTGCCCTTTGATGAAGAGAGTGAGCATCTGCTGGCCTGGTGGCCACTGCAGGCAGGCAGTGAGGCATTACAGACCCACAGTGTGGTGTCAGGAGCAAGCCAGAGCCAGTTTACACTGAAGCTCTAGAAATGTACTTCTCCAGAGGGTGGAAGTTCCCATCCCCATCCCTGTGTTGCTGGGATGCTGGGATCTGTCACCATCCAGAGCAGCTGCTGAGGCTGAGGCTGGAGAGCATCGTGCCCCATCACCAGGGGTGGCTTTGATGCCTCAGCCATCGCATTGGGCACCGGGTCAGAGCGGGGTCTGTACAGCCCGATGGTGCTGAGCCACAGGGGGAGAGGACGGTGTTAGGGAGGGGCCTGGGATGGTTGAAGTGTTTGGAAAGGGAACGTGCTCCTGGCCGACCCTGCGCTGTCTCCTTGCAGAGATTGGCACAGAGAGGGCCTGTTACCGGGATATGTCCTCCTTCCCCGAGACCAAGGCAGAGAAGTACGTCAACAGGATCAAGGGCAAGAAGTTCCTGCAGTACAACCGCCTGCAGCTCTCCCGCATCTACCCCAAGGGCCAGCGCCTCGACTCCTCCAACTACGACCCGCTGCCCATGTGGATCTGTGGCAGCCAGCTCGTGGCCCTCAACTTCCAGACCCCAGGTGAGGGCAGCGGGATGGGGAGCTGCCTGCACCCTGCCCTCGTCCTGCCCAGACTGGGGCCCAGGAGGGGCTCTGCAGGAGCCAAGCTCAGTGGTCACGTCCATGGTTGCCGCAGGGCAGACGTGCTCCAGAGGGCTGGGTTGACCAGGAGCCGTGCTGAGCCAGGGGGTTGTCGTGCCACAAGGACAGGATGAAGTGGAGAGGGAGCAGGGAGTCCCCTGAGGTCCCTGGTGACAGGCAGGGTCCAGCGCGGCCCCAGCTTCCACTCCTGCTCATGCTGCCCTGTCCAGCCTTCCCCTGGCCCTTGCCAGCCCCTGCTGGGAGCTCACCAGCCCACCAGAGAGCTATGTGCCTCTTATCCTGCTGGCTTTGCCATTCCAGTGGGGAATTCAAGCATCTCGCAGGGTGGTTTGGCAAACACAAGAGCCTGCACACGGAAAGCTGAAAGGAGAGGGAGGGAAAAGAGGTGACCCATGGAGCAGTGGGCAGTTGGGCAGGTTGTGCAGGCCCCCCTTGGGCCCAGCATGTGCCCAGTCTGCAGTGAGACTTTGGTGCACCAGGCACTGCCAGGGGATGGGCTGTGACCCCTTCAAAGGGCTTGTGCAAAGCACCAATCCTCCTGGTGATGTGGCTGGTGACACGAGCATGGGGTCTCCTCCCTCCATCTCCTGCCTGTGCATTCCAGACAAGCCCATGCAGATGAACCAGGCCTTGTTCATGTCCAGTGGCCAGTGTGGGTACGTCTTGCAGCCGACCAACATGCGGGATGACATCTTCGACCCCTTCGACAAGAGCACGCTGCGGGGCGTCGAGCCGCTCTCCATCTCCATTGAGGTCAGTTCCTCCTCCCGGCGTGGATCCAGGGGTTGTGCCAAGCTGGGGGTGATCTGACGGTGTTCCTGGCTCCTGGCCTCTGCAGCTGCTCCTCACCCAGCCCCTGAGCCCCACTGCGGGGGGGATCCATGGGTGCTGCTCCCGGGTGCCGGGAGAGGACCAGCAGGAGCATCCCCCAGTGTTCCCATGGGACCTCTCCCGCCAGGGCCTGGGGCCGCCAGGTGGCATCCACGAGCTGTGGAGGTGACATCCCAGTCCCCTTCACTTGGAGTGTGACAGCTCCCATCGGGATAACAGAGCATGGCGGCTCCCATCGGGATAACGCAGAGCTGCGCCGTGGTCCCTCCTTGTCGCGTGGTTGCTCCGGGCTCCGTGTTCCCATATCCCTTTGGTCATGGTCTCTCTTGGGAAGATGCTCATGATCACAGCGTGCTTCTCAGCCCGTTTCTGTGTTGCTGGTGTTGATAAGAGGAGGGGCTGCTGCTGGGGGTACCGGAGGATGGGCTGGAGGTGCTTGTTGCATCTTTTCCTTCCCGGATGGTGGGATTGGGACTGGCCTGTCCCTGTGTCAGCTCACAGCACAGCCGAGGCTCTGCAGGGTAGGGGACCGCTCACCAGCAGAGCTCCTGGAGGGATGGGGAGGCTGCAGCTGCACCATGGCTCTCATGTTTGGACCAGTGGCTGTCCCTGTACCAGTGCAGGCATCCCCAGTGGTCCCAGAGCCGAGCTCTGGGTCACCAGTCTCTTTTGCAAGTCCTGTCAGCTCAGGCAGCTCCTGGGGAGGAGGCACATCCTGCTTTTAGCTGCTCACCCGTTTCTGACCACACACAAAGTGCAGCTCCTCTGAAGCCACCTCTGTTCCAGAGTGATCCCACCTAAGAGAGCCACAGCCCTTCCCAATGGGGACGCCCCTTTGTGTCCCATCTGCACCACTGACCCTCTACCCGCTGTCTCCCTAAAAATCCCTGGCACCATTTCCCTGCACCGTCTGCTTTCCAAACTTCTTCCGCATCTCGGGATGCAGCCGCAACCACCCGGCGCCGAGTCAGCGCGACGCAGCCCATCACTGTCTCCTTTAAGAGAAGGGCTCAGCCTTTGTCCCCTGGCAAAAGTGTCCCCACCGCAGCCAGCTCAGGGATGGAGGAGCCGCCTCGAGCTCAGCGTGACTCACAGCACATGATCCAGCGTTGGCAGCACGTCCTTCCCCTGCTACAGCAGCGTGCCGGCAGCACGCCGGGCTGACAGATGGCCTCTGCAAGAGCGAGCTGGGATTCGTGTCCCTGCAAGGAAGCAGGTTGTCATTTGAGTGGAGCACAGGCTGTGCTATGAACAGGAGGCAGAGCAGCAGCGGAACAGCTCCTTTTTGTCCTCAGGCCAAGGCAGGAGGGACAAGTTTCAGCAAGGAAGGGGATGTCCAGCATGGCTCTGCAGGCTGGGATGGGATGGGGTGGGATGCTGCGGTCCCAGGTCTGGCTCTGCAGGCACCAGACAGGAACCTGGAACACTTCACTTGCCTCTTGACGGCTTATAGATCGAAGTGGTGCTCAGTGGCACCAAAGCAGCCTCCAGGGTGACACCGTAGCATTTCCAGGGGTGGGAGTTGTTTTTCCCCAAGGCAGGCTGGGCTTGGCTGGGCTGGCTTGCAGCATCTCTTCTCTCTCCAATTTGCAGAGCCAGGGTGATTTAGTTGGAAGGAAACTGGTGTGGGATGCAAACACATAGTTTTCCCTTTGCTCCCATCCCTTACCAAGTGTCTTCTGGTCTGTGCCCAGGTTCTGGGGGCCCGGCACCTTCCCAAAAATGGGAGGGGAATCGTTTGTCCCTTTGTGGAGGTGGAGGTGTCTGGGGCCGAGTACGACAATGCCAAGCAGAAAACGGAGATCGTGGGTGAGTGAAGGGCTGGGAGAGTGACCCACTGCCCCTCCTGACTGGTGCGGGCATGTCGCTTGGTGCCAGCGCTGGTGGCACAGGGACGTGGGGCTGGGCTGGGCTCCCACTGACTCTGGTGTCCTGTGGTAGCGGACAATGGCCTGAACCCGCTCTGGACCCCGAAGCAGTTCCACTTCCAGGTCAGCAACCCCGACTTTGCCTTCCTGCGCTTCGTGGTGTATGAGGAGGACATGTTCAGCGATGAGAACTTCCTGGCTCAGGCCACCTTCCTGGTGAAAGGCTTGAAGACAGGTACAGCCCTCGGTGAGGTGGGGAGGGCTGGCCTGGTGGCCCCATGCTGTTTGCAGCCTTAGCCAGGGAGATGCTGAGTGCTGTGGGAGGATGCTGTCAGGCTCAGTCCTTCCCATCCCCATGGCAGCTCAGAGCCCCAAGGAAGGCAGAAGCCATTTGTTAATGGCCACTGGGGCTGCCTGCCACTTGAGGGGAGGTGGGTGGGAGAAGGGGTGCTGGGGACAGATGTGTCCCTGCCAGTGATGCTGGGGCTGTGTCTGCTGTAGGCTTCCGAGCGGTACCCCTGAAGAACAACTACAGCGAGAACCTGGAGCTGGCGTCCCTGCTTGTTAAGATAGACATCTTCCCTAGCAAGGTAAGGCTGGGGCATGCTGGCCCATTCCAAAGGGAACTGTAGGAGCTTATGTTCTGTTGGGGATCTTCAAGTATTAGCTGAAAGCGAAATGACAGCTTGCACCTCTGACCGTTCCTGCGTGGGTGCCGTGCACTTTGTGCAGCAGCCTGGAGCTCAGCCATCTTCCTGGTGCCTCTCTTGGTGCGAAATGCTTTGGACTGAGCCCTGGATTTCCAGTCCTTTGGTACAGCTTACCCACTTTAGCAAACCGCAGCTCAAGGAAGGGCTTGATTGACCTCCTCAGTGCAAGGGACCACTTGATTAGAAGAAAAAGGGCAGGTTGGATGGGGCTTGGAGCAGCATGCTCTAGTGGAAGGTGTCCTGCCCATGGCAGGGGTTGTAACTGGATGAGCTTTAAGATCTCTTCCAACACAAACCATTCCATAACTCCCTGATTCTATGCAGGAGAAGGTGATGGTGCTGCAGGGCTCAGCAGGGCTGTCGGATGCAGCACTGAGCTGCCAGGGCTGCTCTGGAGCGATGCATGGAGCGCTGGTGGGATGGCAAGCTCTGGACTTGCCCCCTGCAGCGAGTTGGGGTGTTTCAGGCAGGGTCCTGCCTGGGCTGCGATTGACTTACCTGGAGAGCCCTTCAGCAGAAGGGAAGGGGCAGATGTGCTCGTTCCCAGTCCCTGCTGTGCTCCGGGGAGGTTACAGCTCAGGACCATGAGCGCGGCTGGCCCGGGGCTGTCTGTGTTGGCATAGTCACAGCTCCTTCAGAGCGGGATGTTTTTCATTGCTGGCTGTTAAAGCCATTGCAACCCCCGAGACCCCATGAGCCCAGCACTGTCCTCATGAGCAGACACACACTTTGAGCTCTCAGGCCCTTTACTCCTGCCGTTGTTTTCCCGATCCAAGCAGGAGAACGGTGAGATAAACCTCTTCAGTGGGGCAGCCCTGCGGGACCGCACCGTGGATGCTGCCACTCAGCTGCTGCTGGGCAGAGGCAGAGAGGGCTCCTTCGAGGCACGGTACCAGCAGCCCTTTGAGGAGTTCCGCATGTCGCCGGAGCAGCTGGCTGACCACTTCGAGAGCCGGGAGCGCAGGTAGGGCAGTGCCCACCATGACATATCCCACCCCAGCATGGTCTCCGTGGTGGAGGCGGAGAAAGGCAGCCTCCTCCCAGTAACCCAGAGCGGAGCTGCAGCCTTTTTGCTGCATGGAAACCCTACATTCCGGCATGGAAGTTGTGCCGGTCCTTTGGGGAGCTGCTGCTTTGGGGTCTGTGGGCATAGGGTGGGACTAGGAGCTGCCACCCCCCAGCCGGTGGCACTTTGCACCAGCATGGGGATGTGCTGAGCCATCCGTAGGGCACAGCTTTGGCCACTGGAACATTGCCCTGGATCGTGCCATGGGCAGCCTGAGCCGTGTCCCCTCTCTGTGACCCCAGCAGGGCGCTGCGGAGGACCCGGATCAACGGGGACAACCGGCTGTAGCCCATCGCGGCGGTGGGAGCACCTCCAGTGCCGGTGGATCTCCCGGCACACTGTGAACTGGTTTCTATGGAAACGGCACTGCTATGGCCTCCTTTCAGGCAGCTTCTCCGGTTTCTCCGCTGAAGTGTTCGAGTGGAGAACTAAAAAAAACATATATTGGGAAAAAACCCCACACCAACCCCGAATCCCTCCCGTCACCACCAAGCCCTTAACAAAGCACACGGGTGCGCACTGCCTGCCAGCTGCTGAGGGGAGACAGCTGTCTGACGGCAAAGAACAAGACCTGAACTCCCCCAGCCAGCCCCTGCCACCGCTGCTCTGCCCGGATTCCCAGCGATCCCACTCCTGTGCAGCTCCCGGGGCCCTCTGGCACTCATCCTTTGCTGTGCCATTCCCAACGCGCCGGGCAAGGGGGGACATGAGCGACCAAGGCAGCACCTCTGTCCTGGGGGCATCGCATCTACCTACCTGTATAGCCACTGCCGACGGGCCAGTAGTGAAACTCACATTTACAAGGCCTCTCTAGCTTTGAATGACAATAAAAGTGTCAGTATTATGTGTGTGGTGTCTGGTGCATGGCCCCACTGCAGCCCTGCCTGGGTGTGGAGCCATGCCAGGGGGCTGCACTGCTCCATCCTTCCTCCGGGCTTTAGGGAGGTTGCAGCTACTGGTAGGGGGAAATAACCAGGAGCAGCCCTAGATTTAATGTGGTTATGTGCTACAGCTGACCCTGCTTTGCTGAATGGGAATGGGGACAAGCAGCTACTCCAGGCTGCAGAAGGATGACTAGGACAGAGGTATCCAGGCTCTGGCACATAGCCGGGTCACCCACTGCTGGCCTCACCCTGTGGGTAAGTTGTGCTTTTAAACCAAAAGGAAGGTTGTGATGGAGCATTCCCCACTGGGGGCACAGCTCAGCCATGCCCATGCCTGGGGCAGCTCCTGCTGTTGGCACCAGGGGATCACCAGGGCTTCCCTGAAGTGAGCGCAATCACCAGTCGAGTCACGGTCGTCTTTTCCGCTCTTTATTTAGGAACAACCAAAAATGTCTGGTTTCATTTCAACAAACTGTACAAGCAAGCTCTTCCCCTCACCCACCCTCACATCCACATATACAAAAGGAAGGGAAACTTGCCGTTCACTTCTCAGAAGTGGCATTGTTGCTACAGGGAGTTCTTGCCCTCAGAATAAGAGCAGGTAAAGTTCCATAGCAGGTACAAGCTACCCTAGCCCTAGTAATAGCTACAGCCCACAATCACAGGCAGCTTCACTTTTTGTTTTTCCTCTTTAAAACCTTTACCAAAAGTAAAAACTAGTTCCTGTCTCACACGATTGCCAAGGTGACCATCTAAAACTGTGGTCTTAAGAAAAACACAATAATAACCCCACTGGAACCCCCCACACCTCCCCGGTACAAAGACCCAGCAGAGCCCTTGCTCTGCTCCCTAGCTGCACGGCCACCCTTATGAAAGGTCCCGTTGCAGCTACAATTACATTTTCCTTTGGATAAATCCAAGCAAAAATTCCAGGTCATTCAGCACCAGCATGATTTCTAAATAACAATAATTAAAAATAAAAAAACAAAACAAAGAGACCCCATTCGGCTGACTTTGTGGTCTGCTGAGAAACAAAGTGATCAACACGCTGTTCCCAAAGGCTCTCTTTTAGTGCAATGTTAGTATGTGCAAGGGGAATCACAGCCACGTACCCATAACACCACCACGAGCCAGATGGGGCAGAGAGAAAGTGCAATTTTAGCAAGAAGTTTTCTATGCCGTGGATTCCTAGCCCAATCTTCACTACCACCAGTAAGCAAGACTCCTAACACCACCCTCCATCAGTACAGGGGAAAAGTGGCTTGAATTGTGCCATCACAATATGGCCAACATCAGCCAACAGAGCACTCCTCACTGGAACAGGCAGGAACAAGGAAACAAAACCACAACACAAATCACGGCTTCGCTACAGAGCTCCCTTGCTCTGCTTAAAGCTGTGTGATGCCAACCCAGCATTCCTGGCAGGGACCACTGCCAGGAAAATATACAGCAGAAAGTAAACTTGCCAAGAGAAAAGGTACAGCTTGCAAGTGTCTCATCCCTACACCTCCGTTTGTAGCGCTGCCTCATCTTACCCTGCTGGTTTGTGATCAACTGAGGAATGACAAGAGAGGCTCCTGCTGTGAGCTGAAGCACACCAGGCCATCGACTGATTGGAAAACAGCAAAGCCAAAATTATCTGAGCAACAGGAGAGAGTTTACAAGCATTTCAAATGCTATCAACTTGACAGGAAGGTACAGCATCACATTAACTTGGTAACTGGTGCCTAAGTGCTGAAAACCATCTTTCTCTTCTGATTCCCAGTGACCCAGCTCCACACATCACCTTCCCACCAGGTTGCCTCTGTAGTGTCTCTAAGAGAGGGGCTGCAGGGAAGTCAGAATACAACACTTCTACCTGTGACCAAAACCTGTTCTTTTTTCTAAACCTCAAAATAACGTAAGTGGAAACCCAGCCTTCTCCATCCTCCTCTTCCTCCTGAACAGACAGGGGACACCTAGCAAACACTAACCAAGCAGCTCCAGCTTCTGCACCAGCATCGCCCAGGCAGGTTAAGGCTCTGTGACTCTCATCAGAGCTGCCAGCAGCAACTGCTTCTGCTGGTGGCTTCTGGTGGTGACCAGGGAAGGGACAGGCAGCCACACCAGTACCTGCAGCTGGAGCTCTGTGGGTCACCCATGGAAGCAGCCCTTGTGCTGCAGGCCCGATGTTCCTTGGACAAGTGGGAAGAAGAGCCTGTAAAATATGGGTTGTTTAGTGTTCTCCTAAAGAAAGTAAGAAAAAAGTGATTTCCAGGATGGTGAAAAACAAGGTACCCAATGAACCAGCCACGTCTAGAATCCCACAGCAGGGCCTGCTGACATGAACAAATACAGTAGATGTTGCTTCCATCAGGAGAACCAGCAGCTCTTTACATGAGTAGGCCAGGTATGGCACAGATCAGGGGTCGGGTCATTAAGCAATTAGATTGTGCCCTTAATTTAAGCAGCCTCAGAGACACAAGTAACAAGATTGACACGGATTAAAAGTGATGGTTACTCCTGTTGCTGCCACACAGAGAATGGAGCTAAAGAATTTCATTTCCCTCTCTTACTGATGCTGGCTACAATCTCTATCTTACACCCTTCCTTTCAAATCAAGAGAGTCATCTTTGATTAGATGATGATAAATATTCACACACTGTGTAGAATCCTGGTGATGCTTCCTCTTACCACCAGAAGAGCTGCTGCTGGGGCTCTCAAGCCACCTCTCATTTCTTCCTTTCAGTTTCAGATGCGAACACATTTCTAACGTCCTGCACCAAAACCTGAGCCTGGTTTTGGCGATGACACCTGCTTCTCCTCAGATTCAGACAGGGAAATGAGGCCACAGAACTAACCCCTCAGGTTCTGCTTTCACAGAGGTTTCAAGTCAACTCAGCAAATGCACATAAGGAGGAATGCAGGGGTTAGAAAGGGAACTCGACTGCTTTCTGATTTTCCTGTCTCTAAACACCCACCCTCCCCTCGCGCTGGGCCCTGCCAGCCCCACTGCAGCCAAGGGGAGTCTGCATGGAACCACTTTTTACAATTCCTCCAACCCAAAAGAAAGAAAACTCCTGCTGTGCTTGTATGAATGCACGGAGACAAAGCCCAAAACCCTCAACTGCTTCCAGCCCTCAAGGCTGGTTTTGCTGTGTACACCGGGAAACTCTCCCTCCAGCTCACAAGACTTCTCTTCAATTTGTCTGGAAAACTGGCCAAATACAATCCAAGTGCAAAAAACTTTCAGCTAAGTGCATGGAAAAATGGTTTGAAGGGATCAGTTCATACCATAGTCCTTAAGCATTTCTGTAGATGGAGCGGGGATCACTCTTCCAATTAGCCATAGGCCTTCAAGTGTACACCCAAAATCCCACAGAAAATCACCTTGAATGGGCAAACTACACTTCCAACATATTTATATAGCGAGTAGTTAGTAAAAGTGTACATTTTTAATGTACATTTTAATGCAATAAAGAATCAATGGCGTATCTGAACTGTATATATGTGTACTTAAATAAACCTGCATGTACATAGACACTAGAGAGTAAATTGACCTACCTGTATTTGTTCTCTGAAGGTAGCACCATACACACACATACTCTCGGCACACACAGCTCCCAGATATGCTGCCTCTGGCTCCAGGAGCACCCAGATTCTCCTGCCACCACTGACATTTTGGGGTATGCATGGTTGCACCCATGAGGGTTAAGCCCTTGGGGCTCTGGCTGTCTCTGCTCTCCCCGAAGATGCTGCCCACCTGAGCCAACAGAGGCCGAGGTGGGACTGCTGCTGGTTCTGCCTCCAACCACAGCACGACAGCAGCAGTGCTTCTGGAGAGGTGCAGGGAGCACGGTGTCACTGCAGGGTGCAGCATCTCCCCAGGTCCCGTTAGGGTGCAGGGCAATTCCATCCACAGCAGATGCTCACACCTGGCCACCGGGGTGACACTGTGTGCCAGGGGAGCTACGTGAGCTCAGGAGCATGCACCTACCATGGAAGCACGCACCACAGGGCCAGAGGAAGTCCTGTCTCTTACAAGGCACTGAACAGACAGAACCTCTCCTAGCAGTTGAACAAGGCAGCCTCTTAAAGAGGGGATGGGGAAAGGACTGGAAAAGCAAAGCAATTAAAGGTAGAAATCAGACACCAGTGTTGGAAGGGGCTCTGAAAGAGCTTTTTTTGGGTTTAAACCAGACGTTTTGTAAATCTCTGGATCCAATCCTTTGGGGCTTGCTACCCACCCTTCTAATAAATATCATTTACCACCAACAATAAAGTCTCCCACATGAAAAAGCTTTCACTAACTAAAAACCTTCTACTGAAAAAGTTTGGCTGAGTTAGCTTGACAAAAATAAGGAGCTCTGACTCCTCTCCATAAATACATCAGCGGACAGACACCAAAACCTATTTAAGTTAAAGGACAATGTTGGCTCCAAAACAAACCAGGAACGAACCAGCCACGAATTAATTCAAACTAGAAATTTAAATAAAGATTCTAACCACTCAAAGGCAATGAATTTCTGGAATAGCCTTTCCAAGAGCAAAAGTGAAGGCAAGACATGGAACCAATTTTCAGCTGGGATTTGATTAGTTTGTGACAGAACGGTCTGACACAGCATTTGGCTGGAGTATCCAGCTCAAGAGTTTCCCTTCTAGACCTTGTTTTTTGTTAGAAAAGAATATTGAGAAGATCTTCAAGGAGTTGCATCACACAGCAACCACCCAAGACAAGATGGGCACATTAAAACTGTGCAGGTAGAGGGGAGCAGAAGGGTTAACTGCGCAATTTCCTTTGCTGTTTCACCAGAACTACTGCAGAAGGAATGGGGGAAATAAAATGGGGAAGGATAGGGAAGCCTGGAGCAAACACCTGAAGTTCCCAGTGCTGCTGCAGGAGGATCTATCATGTAGGGCTGCAAAAGGGAAGCTTCCTGATTGCAGCAGAGCTGCTGCTGATCCCTTGGAGACAACAATCCTTAAACCTCTCACAGCAACGCTGAGTATTCTCTGCATTTGCTCGCTGAAGAACAGCTTGTTCTCTCTGAACAATGAAAAGATTCCAGGTCAGGATGGAAAAATTATGATGTGCTAGTTCTCAGTGATTAAAGGGAGACTTGGAGATTGAACAGCCTGCTACAGACAGTCTCCAGGAGCACAGGGGAAAGTATTCTAGCTGGCAAGGGAGAAATGACACCAAACTCCATCTCCTAGGATGCTTCTGTCTGGGAACCTGGTACTTACTGGAGAGTATGCAATGCTAAATCTAACCTATGCCTTAGGGATGAAAATCTCACTCAGCTCCCACTGGGCTTTAATACACAACTGGCAGTTTTCTTTTTAGACCCCTTTCCACACACACACACACACACACCCACACCCCTGTGTGCCCACAAAGTGCTTCATTGCCAGGGCTTAAGGACCAGAAAGGGTGGAGAGGATATATGCAGCCATGCCAACCTTTAGAGAACAAACACCTTAACAGACAGATGAAAAAACCCAAGAAAAAAGAAAGAAATACTGTGCCATGATAGTCCATATCTAAGCAATGACCTTGTTTACACAACGTCTGAGATTTGTTACGCTTGTATAGGCAGCTGTAGGCATCGGTATATGAGTATGAAATCTGAAAGTCTGTCCACTGGAAAGCAACAAGAGCATCATCCTATTTCCTGGGTGCAGGCTGAGCCCCTGCCAGCTCTCAGCCATCTCCTGGGCTGGGCCACAAGAGCTCTGCACCAAGTTTTTGCACGCGTGCTCTCTCGTGTGCTGTGCTCAAAGGTCTCATTTATGGCAGTGCTTTACCACCACATCCTGCTCCTGAGGTCTGCATCAGCCTGGCCCATGGGTTTCTTCAAGACCAAAAGTTTCTTCTCAAGGGTAATAGCGGATCCTCCGGGGCTGGTGGTTTGAGTTCAGTCTGCCTCTGAAAAAGAACAGAGGGGTCAGAGATGCTGCAAGATGCAGAGGAGCCTGCTGGGTGGGCAGGAAGGGGTGCAAGAGTGCCTCGGG